TGTTTCAATATGCAAACATTGTTCAGATAAACTTTAATTATTAGCACAGGAAATATTGTACATAATTAAGAAAGTTGCAATGTTGTAATACATATGTGGCATATTGCTTTCACTAATATGTCAAATGTTTGAAGCATAAAACAGGCACAGGAATTTTTTGCATAATTAAGAACAGATGATACAAACTTTTTTCAAAAACCATGAAAATAACAACTTAAGTTGTTATATAAATAAAATGAATAGGTTTAGATTTTGATTTTTTCATTCAAAATTTCACAAAAATGTCCTATATAATGATAAAAATATTGTATAGATTTATAAGGGTGCTTGCAGAAAGGTAGAACTTTGAACATCAAAGAAAGTTTACAATTTTTTAATATTCTAGAAATTTGCATCATTTACAAGCAAAATTTGTCCAAAAATATATACCAATCCAGGCATCCATGTTTTTGATTGTATCATCTGTCTGTTACCAGATGTACATTGTTTTTCACTGCATTTATTCACTTCCAATCAATCATATATCTGAACTATAGAATTTTTAAAAAATCATTAATCTTTGAAGACTATTTGTTGAATTTGCCTCCTAAACAATCCAAGAAATATTGTTTATTTAGAACTGGGAATACAAAATTACCAATTGAGACTGGTAGATGGTTTAACATCCCTAGAGAAAATAGAATTTGTAAATTATGTAACAGCAACGAAATTGGGGATGAATTTCATTATTTATTTAAATGTACTGATGTGTCTATAAAGAACTCAAGAGTTATGTATTTGTCAAAGTATTTTCATTTGAATCCAAATGTTTTGAAATTTGAAATGCTTTTTAATGTAACCAATACTAATCAACTTAGCAAAATTTGTAAATTGTTAGATATTATAATTGAGAGAGTTGGCTCTCTTGGTTGACATACTCTGTTACCCCTTCTTCAGGCATGTAATATTTTCTGTTTATTATACTGTACATATCTTCTCTTCACTGTTTTGTCAGTTATGAGAATAAAGTTCAAGTTCAAGTTCAAGTTATATTACATATACTTGTATGAACTGCCTATTATGTGAAACAAATAAGAACATGATTACTTCGATTACTAAAATGTATGGTAAAGAATATTATAGTATATACCTGTATAATCATTATAATTAAAAAGATTATTGTCCTATTTTAGTTAATTAGTAAGATTAATTGTACATATAAAAAAGGTACTCAGATACTTATTACTTATTTCACAATGAATAAGGACTTAATATATTATAGATTTTGTTTTCAACAATGACCATCAGCTTGTGAGAAACATTTACTTGAGAGATATACATGTATACAGTTTATTTTAAGTTGCAGAAATTAAGCATGACTTACGATTTTGAATGGAATTTTTTTTCCAAAAATTTTCATCTGATCCTTTTCAAAAGAGCTTTTATTAATCTGTTTCAGTTTTTGAATCAAAAGCAAGTATTTGCTTCCAAGAAACATTTTTCGAAAAGTATGAAAAGACTTAATTAACAATCCTTTCAGAAAAAAATCATTTTAAATGAGTTTAAAAAAATAAAATGAAATATCTTGAACATCTTGAAATGCATGAATTTTAAAGAATAAATGTATATTTACGGTGTATATTAGTTTGACATGTGCAATCTCTTCGCATTTTTAAAATGCATTAAGAGAATTCCTATTGAAATCTCATAGAAAAATATAATAAGATTTTTAAATTAAGATTTCAGAAAAATCATATCAATTGATTGACAAGTAAGTCTTTTTTTTAAAGACCTTTCTTTCAGAAGTTCAAGCGATTAAATTAACCAGACCGGTTTTTCATTGTTATCAAACGTGATACTGAATGTGTTGTCAACCATTCTTATGAATAAATCTTTAACTAAATTTGTATTGTATTGTGATGCCGATTTGTTAGCATTTCTAAAAATAACTTTGAAGTTCTAAGAATTCTGTAGGATAAAAAATAATGGAAAAAGAGCGATTTTAAGAAAAAAAAATACTTATTTTAAAAATACAAATTGTGCATTACAAAGTAATACATGTAGATATTATTATCCTTACTTACAACCACGATAGAAAAATTATGAGCTTTGTAAAAGCAATTTAAATGAATTTTTACAACGAAATTGAAATACAAACAATCTTTGATCATCATAAATAATTTAAAAAATTATATATGGGTAAAATTACTTTTTCTTTAAATGTATGCTTTCGGAATTCTTTATTGCTGTAATATCTACTTGTTGATGCTAAATCGTTCAGAAGAATCAATATAGCTTAAAAATGAGTATTGTGTCTTGCTTAAAAACGTTTCTGGGCAATCATTTTAAAAAGAGCATTTTACGGGATTCAAGGATCTTATTATGATTTATAAATTATTATTTGTTATTCATAGAATGAGCGTGGCAGAAATTTAAACATTATTATGTAAGAAAAGTTTTAAAAGTTCATTTAAACACACATACACAAAGGAAAAGAAAGTATCTTTCGTTGGTCCTTTGGATTCATCAATTTTTTATTCTTATTCTAAAAACGAAAACGTATCTATGCTTTTACTCTTAATCTGTTTCCCATCTTCTGAATTTGATGAGAAGAAATCTCAGAATATTAATTACTAAATTGCTTTCTTTAATTGAAAAATAGTTTTATCAAAAACAGAATTATAAATTTCTTGGTTTTAATACAAAAACAATGAAAAACGTCTGACTAGATTATTTCGTAGACTAGTAAAAAAAAAACAACAAACTTGTTGGATACAAAATAGATAAGGTGAGTTTTCAAGGATTTTTTTTATGTTAACTCGGTTAATATTTTGTTTCTGTTCTCACATTTTTATGCAAAAAAGTTAATCAGGTGTTGTGTCCTACAAACTTTTCTACTTTTAGGAAAGATATGAAAAAATTCAGTACTGCTAACTGGACTTTTTATTCTTCATTTAAATGTGAACACATTTTGCCGCTCTTAATTAACCAATAAGAAAAAAAAAAATTGGACAAAATTTTGGCTATGTTTATCATATGTATTGATTATGAAATTTCACAGCTCAAATATTAATGGAAATTTATTTCACATTAAATTGATATCCTGATACTAGTGTATAGATATGTCTACCCATAAAGACTGGAGGGAAAATACGAAAACTGTAGAAATACTGAAGGTTCAAAGGTCATAATTAAGATTTTTCGTTAATATAAAATGTGAATATATTTTTTTTTTCCGAATTTTGGGGATTATTTTTGATTTTTTTGAAAAAAAATATTTGGATGGAAATATTCCATATTAATTTTGTATATAACGATTTGGTTTTTCTTTTTGTATTTCTGAAAAGACAAATTATTTCATTGCAGGTGGCAAAATTTTCAAAGGTCTCCTTACCCATCGCTTCTATCTCATGTTCTGTAAGGAATTATCAAAAAAATGAAAGCATTGGCTTTTTGTTATCAGTCGATAGCAGGGTATAATTAGGACTGTGTTGTAAATCATGGAATTATACTTCAACACTTAAGTATTTTGTCGGATGTTCGACAATCTTCTGTCGGAGTGGTTGTATGGTCTGCGGAAGTAATACATTTGCTACACAACTTTTCAGCTACCAGCTCTGACGTCTTTGGTCCCCCATTCACTTTTAATTTTAAAAGCTTATCATGATCAAGGCCACAATTTTATCCCTTCCCCACTCCCTCCATCCCTAGATGTCGTAATCTCTCTACGGATTCAGCTCCCTTCAGTTTTTCATGAATCAAAAAAAAAACAAAAATTCTATATAGATTTTCCCCATGTTTAATTACTTTTATTGTTCTTTTGCACAACGGGATTCCTAAAAATATATAAAATAGTGCCATACCTTAGGAGAAATATCATTTACTTCCATATTCCACTATGAAATTTTTAAGAAGGTATAACATTTTTGAAATGACTAAACTCTGCATGCTTTCGGGAGGAATCGCTTTCGGTTGGGGTATTCAGTGCATGTTGCGTACCAAGTTGGTCATTGCGTCCATATTTCACAATAATTACACATCATGGTTATTTAAGCATGAGCCCGTAGTCTGATCAAAGTCAAGCGTTTGGGTAAAAGCCTTATATTTGGAGCTCTTGTTGAGAAGGTTCAGTGATAAAATTGCTACTATTCTTTGGCAAAATTGCCTGCAAAATCTCCCTAATAGATATTTTAGAAAATATAATTTTAAATTGGTAGTTAATGAATGTACAGGTATCCTTTATTTCTTCATATAATACATTTATATTTTGGAATATTTTTACATGTACAAAGAATTCATGTTCAAGATTTCAATAATTCGAAGTCCACTGATCAAATCGAACTAGTTTTTAAAATTCGAGTTCATTGAATTTCCGAGAAATTCAGCAAATGAACATCACCAATGGTATATTTTGATTCTTAAGCAATTTAATGAAAGATTTTCATATGTCGTTGCAAATCATTATGTAGGCGTAATTGGCCAAAGACAGGTTTTACTTACAAAAGATAAACATGTATTTCGATGAAGTAAATAACTTGCAATAACAAAAACAAAGAAATATATGATTACTTTTGGAAATAAACTTTATTGCTAATTAGAATAAATTCATTTGCCTGAAAGTATAACGCAACCTTTCTGTTGCAAATGAACACTAATATGCAAATAAGCGAGGTATGTCCTGGTATAAAACTTTTGTTTAACAAAGAATCTCAAACATATCCAAGTTTTTACATAACAAAATTAAAACTCTGTTTTGAACAGGGAATAAAAAAAACTATAAAGCTTTGCCTTAGCAACTTCCATACTGATTTGAAATTAACCTTTTACAAAGTTTCAAAATGATTACCACATTTTCAATCTACACAAAGAAAGATACAAAACATATAATTGCGGTAGAAGATGCAAAATTGATCGGTAGCAATTTGAATCTTTTCTTCTTCAATAAGTTAAACAAGAAAAACAGAATGCATTTTATGACATTACTTTGAAAAAAAAAACAATTCAAGAGAAAAAAAAGCCATACAACACTATTGTCTTTCATGAACAAGTACACATAATGGTTACATATTAAAGGATATACATACATTTACAAATATATAGAGCATTTGTAAAAGAAGAGATAAATTAACAACGATTACGATATGAAGGAATGTCTGATGTGTAAACGATGTCTCTTGTGCGGTAGCTGAGGAGTGGATTTCAGAGGCTGCAACATTGAGCACTGACTAGTCACTAACTATATGGGGATTTCCTGAGCACTAACTTTACTGGCAAACGAGAAAACATGGCGTTTCCTTCTCTTACAGATTGTTACTTCACTGCTTCAAAAAGCAATTTAGTTCAACCACTTCCTTTGCAAATTGATCAAGCCATTTATCAGTATCACTTAAGAGCTTTTGCCATGTTGATTTGATCGTCATGTCTATAGACACCATTTTTGATGAAACTCTAATCGTGACGTCATTGCAGTCCTCGCCAGTACTGTGACGCCATTGCACCCATGTGATGCGCACTCATATCTGGTGGTCCCCCACCTGGTACTTGAATAGGAACTGACACACCCGGAGAAATCAGTCCTGAAAAATTAACAAGTTTTTTTATGGAAATAAATTCCTTAAATTAAATAAATGTTTAAAACACAAAGTTTTGCTTACACTTATAAACCAATTTTTGCACAGATAAATCAAAGAATTGCTTAATTCAAAATGAGATAAAACAAAAGAAAGCTAAGAAAATCAGATTGAGGTAATATTTAAACAATTTTACATGCAAAGACAATCACCTAGTAGGAGGAGAAATAGATCTGCTCACCAGTAGAGGCCGCTGATGCGTGGTTATTGTGGGTCATGTGACCCTGCATGCCTGCTGCGGGGTTACAAGATGGACGGGAGTAGTTGCTTAGTGATAATGGATCGTAACTTCGAGGTGCGTATTCTGCAAAGTACAACAAAACTCGTTAAAAGACATTGAAAGGCTATCTGTGCAAAGTGAGACAACTCCTGAAAATTTACAATTTAATCAACTTTTTCTCATCGTTATGGGTAGCAGTGATATTTTGGATATCTAACGGAAATAATATAAAATTTAACAAGTCAGTTAGAGTTTCGGACGTATTACCTGGTATCATACATGAGTAAGAAGTTGCGTTGCTTGACTGTAGACATGCTGGATTGGCTGGGATATTATTGCTGGACAAGGAATAGGAAGGCATGGTCGGCATTGAGCTGCAAAAACCAAAGTCAAACATTTAATAAATTGCAAAAACTACAACTTCGAATAAGTAAAAGTCCAAAACTACATTACTATCTATTACTCAGAGAGGACCCAAATGCAGCGCATGTACATGTAATATGATGCTTGTGAATTAATGGTAGCATACAACATGCTACTCCGTTTATTAAATACAAATCATATCAATGACCACTTTTCATTAACATTTTACATTCTACCTTTATCATATTTCCAATTTTTTTTTCTGTATGTGTTGTTTATCCATGTTATCTATTTTAGTTTGTTCGACAGAATTTGAGAGAAATTCCACATGATACATGTACCTATCTCTCACTTCACCTGTTCTTGTTCCATGAAAAAATGTTAATTTTCACAATTGAATTGCCTAACCCTAACTCTGTCTGTCCTCTAAATGTAAAGAAAGATTTTGAAATTTCGAGGTATTTTACCTGTAAGAGTCGGCCATTGTTCCTATTTGTTGGTGGATTGTGGGATACATTCCGTTTGAGAAGCCTCCGTTGATTGGTAGTCGGGTAGCTCCATTCGCTACATCCCTTCTCTGGTTCCGTAACTTTTCTTCTCGTCGCCACTTTGCTCTCCTATTTGAAAACCATACCTGTCAAAAAGTAGAAAAATAATATTTTAGATGATGTTCTTTTTCAACTGATGAAATTGCTTCTTCATTAAATAGTATACATTACTCTCCCTAAAGTGGAGTTGGACAATATAGCTATACAAAAATTTTGCTTTGAATTACCTGTATACGTGCTTCTGGGAGATCAATTTTTTGTGACAGCCTTTCTCTTGCGAATACATCCGGGTAATGAGTTCGCTCAAATTCTAAAATTGTTTGAAATAATTAAATGATTGAAAAAAAGATGCTAAATAAAATCATCTTTTGACTCTGCTTGTTTTAAAAATACCAGTACATTTTTTTTTGCCTCTTTGGAAATACCTTTTTCTAGAGCTTCGATCTGAGCTGCAGAGAATGATGTTCGGTTTCTCTGGAGTTTGCGCTTTAGACGCATTCTAAGCTGCTCGTCTGTTTCATTGTTTTGACCCTCACTCTGGTTGCTTTCTGAACCCGAGCCATCATTATCTGAAACGATTCAAAATTGAAAATTGACATGTTTTTCAAAATGTTTATTCTGTCAATAGCTGACCTTTACATGAAGAGTTCATTTGTAATCGGTTGTGTAATCTTAGATAGTAATCAAAAAATTAACTTTAAAGATTGAAATATAAGTTGTCGATTTTATTTTTAAACTTCTCCATTATGTTTGCTACGTGCTTGATTCGTGGCTGCACTTGCACTATTGCCTTAACACGCAAGAAATAATGATAACATGGGTGCTTGGGGGGGTTAGCAACACATGTATCAACGTAATTTCAACTATCTGCCTAATCAGATAATAAACAGCTCTGCTTATTAAAGTATTTCAAACATAATTTTAACAGTGTGTCATAATTAAGTCCATATTGTTCTTATCGCAACATCTCGAACGTCACGATATTTTGGTAGTCGCATCTGCATTGTCATCTGTTCATGGCGGCCATATTATTTTTTTTTTAATTCACGTGACCTAACATGGCTTAAAGTGATCAAATTAATTACACGGCATTGTGCTTATTTGTTTTCCATTTGCAGTTACATAACCTGACAGCTCTTTCAGGGTAATTTAGACGTATTAACTCTAAATATGGATCGGCAATTCATCATTGAATTTTGCATTCTTTTATGTCATTCAGGTTTCTTATTACAGTTTTATGTAAAACATTGTGCATTGTTATGGGGTTAAATGTGTAGGAGATCGTAATCACTCTTTACCTGCCTGGGATCGATTTTCATATCGCCATAAAACCATTTATTTCATACACAACATGGGGATTTTTTGTGAGAATGATCTTTTCACTCCCGGGAACTCTCCAGCATGGGAGATACGAAAGAAATCAAAATTATATTTTCATCTGAGGCTGAAAGGATAACATTCTCTGTATAAGATCAAAGAGTATGACTCCCATTAATAATTTATAATTGACCATTGAGGTGATTCGAGGGTGCTAAATAAGTTTGATTGCGGTCCACTAATCTGTTCAACTTTGTAAGGAAACCACAATAGGTCATAGAATATTTCCTTTGACCTCCTAGGTTCTCGTGCAACTCCGGAAGTGGAAATCCAACTGTGCAAGAGCATCATTTCGCTGCTTAAGTAGTTTCAGATTCAATAAAAATATTTAGGTTATTTTTCATTCCTGTGGTGCCCTATGTTATATTGGAGTCCAAGCCGTAATGTGACTTGCGTTGACTTTTTCATCTTAATCGAGAATAGTATGCTAGGCATTCGCTCTTACATTTTTTTTATAACAAAAAAAGTTGACATCCGGATACATTTCTGCATGAACACCACCACTCCTTCCTATAAAGTTATATAATACATGTGAATGGGATCTATTCTTGTATGATATCTATTTTCATATTATGACCAGATAAATGTGGCTCTCTATTCTCATTTTTGAATAGAAATTCTTTTCATAGTGTAAATCTTGTAGAGTTGTTTTTTACGTTTTTGCACTGAATGTCCGATACGTAAAATTACAGTGAATTGAGTCTCGATTCACTCCCTAAATACAAGGCAGGCAGTGATGATGGTTGGCAAATTGTACGACCCAAACAACTGCAACCATTTCGCTCGGGAATGATCGCCCGAACAGAGAGAGCCAAGTCTGAATTAAAATACCATGGCAAGCATCGACGCAACCACGTTTTGATATTGACGAGCAATGGATAGCTATTATTATCCGTAATTATCCAGTTGTAGAATTTTATCAATATCAGAGAAATTTTAATGTTCATGAAATCACATCCACCATTCGCACACGAGAACAACTGTTCCTTATTCTTTGTTCGTCGCGTTTTGAACAGTTTTCGGTTAAATTTTCATGTCGCGTAATTAATAGCACGTGACATCAAATACGATTCTGTCGCTCACTTGTTAAATCTATACATTGTGTAATATTCTACATTTCCCTATCTATTTTTTTTTTTACCGCAGTGTAAAGGCAGATGTGGAATTCCACAAACTGACCCGGCCTGATCATGTGCTCTAACCCTTGACCTTCAGATACTGATATGAGGGTCATATCTGCTTTAAATATCACAGGTATATTGTTATTTTTAAATTGTAATCATAACGAGAATTCTTGGCCAATCTGTTGACTGCTGAGTCCCTTCGGGCGACCACTAGGAAACTAACACAGACAGACCTTTCTTTGTTGACCGTGACAACACAGACGATGACCGCAACAGGCCTAGTCACGTGACACATTTCATCAACTTGCTCTGGAAGATTTTTTGATTTTGATAAAATGTCTCGAGGCGACTTTTTCACCAAACATAACATGTGTCACAATTTCGGCGCCCACACATTACCAAAAACTGTTTCATTATGATAAGATAACTTTTGTGCTGATAAATAATAAATATAAAGTTGCTACGATTGTTTATTGGAATAAGATGAAGATATTAATAATAATAAAAAAAAATCATCCATACTTTGTATGATCGTGGGTATAAAGCATTAATTCAAGAGCCAATATTACGTTTTCCCCCTTTTAAGTTCAATGTTTGATTTGTATCAAAGTTGAAATTTCATTTTAACTCGTGTGATATTTAACATGTCATAAAATTATTCTTCACTGCTGTTACAATTTGAAACTCTAGAAAATTGACAAAAAATCTTTGATCTCTGAAAATTAGCTATCCTTTTGTTATTATCATAATAAATTTCACAATAAAAAAATTAAGAAAGAGTTGCACATTGTTTTTGAATTTAGGGATTTATAAAATGAGCAAGTACAAGGGAACTCATTCAGTCAAGATTTTATAATAACAAAGTAACACTGATGTCAAAAATCCCATTTCATTCAGCACACTATCGCATTAGATGGCCTAATCCCATAGCCAAATAGCATAATCACATTTGTATTTTCACGAAATATTTATCTGCTAATGTTAAGAACATTTAGTAAATTATACTTACACGTCGATCGCCTAATCGGTACACACTTGACACCTAGTTTGTGTATTTGGCCGAAGTCTTTGATTCAAAATTATAATAAAATGCTTCATTTAGAAAAAATAAAAACATCTTGAAGGGAATTTGGGATCGACTTTGATACCCAGAGTGTAGGTATTAATGCGCAGCGACTATCGCTGCCAGAATACTGGCGCCTGGTGGAGCGAACTTTTTTCATCGAAGAACTAATATTTTATCGTCCGATTTAGAAACACAACATAAATATTATTCATACGCTAGAGGGTTATGTCCGTGTTTTCTTTGTAAATCACCCATATATTTGTACCCAGTTGCATGTTTTCATATAACACAAGAGCACGCTTATTTCACACATTTTTACATAGAGATGCTTTCTCTTCTAACAAAAATTTGACCGATCCCTGAAGATTTTCAAAATCCCTATTTCTAACAGAAAAAAAGAGAAAGTAGAAATCGTTGAATTTCTCAAAGATCTGCCTTTTTTCTCATCAATTCCGTCAGAACTTTGTGGTATTTAAAATCTGGATATTTGTAAAGAATATTTATTTTTCATAGGATTAGCTTTAATCCTTGAATAAGCCACTAGACTGACTGACGACTAGGTTCTATTCGTCACTCGTGTATGAAACCTCCCCCTTAAATACAGGACGGACGAAGCAAGAGAAGTATTTTTCCTCCCGCAGATTATTACCACTGTCTTTTTTTTCTAACAGAAAGGTGAATAAGTTGACACGTATTGCAATAAAACTACCAACTCTAATCCCACGTGAACAGTCAATTAACTTTGCTACTCTTTAACACTTGGATGTTATGGACTTTCGAATGAATACTAAGATAGAAAACGTATTTTCTAAAAAAAAAAAAAAAAAAAAAAAAAAAAAAAAAAATTAAATTAAGAAATGTCTGTATAGCAGTTACGTAATATTGTTTAAGAAAAATAAGGATATAAAATGAAGAAAAATTTTGAAAATGTATCGCTTTACCTCGAACGTCCTCTAATCTAACAAGGCATTTCTCGATAAAGCAAATTCGCTCGCGATACTTTGTTTCGTCTAAAATAAAATAGGACGTCTTATAATCAATTACAAGTAATCACAGCTAAGCAAGGTGATTATTGGTTCCATTTTTATCCGTTTTTAAAAATCTACAACATTTGTGATTCTTCCATTCACCGATTTCTATTATCCAATTAAGGGTCTCTTGAAAAGACCCCGGATTGAATCCGCTAAAATAAAGCGTGGCGCTCAGTTCAGCAGTAGGACTTCCACATTTGTACATTTTCTCCCTTTCTCCTCTATTCTTTGAAGTTGATTTACTCGCCGTTGCACTTTGATACATTAATATTAATTTATCCGCCTGGCTGCATCTATATTGTTGATTCGATGTGAACGGCTGTATGAATATGAAAAATGAAAAGCGGCATCGACGACGCGATTTTTAATCTAACGTAGGCTAATACAGACTCCTGTTATGATTTTTACACTATCCTCATTGATTCTGGCACCTAACGTATCCGCATGCTTTTACTATGATTGTGGAAAAATACATTTTTGCCTTGTTGGATACTTTTCTCGCGTTTGACCATCAATACAATTTGCAATTTTTACAACATTACTCTGGGAACAGCACATTACTAAATCAAGTAATAAACAATTGTGTATTTTCCTGTCAAATCTTGTTTATTTCCCTTTCTTTATCCATAATAACATTAAATTGTCTACACTTCAAAAATTATTTTATATCTTTCTAAAAAAAATAGTTGATGTTCACAAGTTATTCAGGTAACATGAATATTATTGTTTATTTTATATGAAAAAAAAAAGAGAAAAACTTTTGATATTCTGGTTGAATGGATAACACTTCACACGCTTTTAATCATTTTTATAATTAATTTTGTAATTAAAATACTTGCGAACATTCGTTTTCATCAAGACACAAACCTATTAATTTTCTAAAAACCTGCATGACATGTTCTGTACTTTTAGGGGGGAAAGAGAAATATTTATATATTCTCTATACTAGAAACATCATTGACTAAAAATATTAACTAGATTAATTTTCTAAAAACCTGCTTAAAATGTTCTGCATTTTCGGGGGGAAAAAGGAAATCTTTATATGTTATCTATACTAGAAATACCACTGACTAAAAATATTGACTTTTCGCTTACTTTTCTTATCCATTCCGAGGGGAGGAGCTGGTTGGTGGGTAGTATAGGCGGAGGGAGGGAGACCTGGCACGCCCATGTTCGTGGCATACCAGGGGTTAGTTCGGGGCCAATTCTGTCCATTCAATAGGCCTAACTTGTCATACATTGCACCCTGTCCCATCACCTTCTGATTCTCGCTGGCAAGATTTCGTAGCACACGGTTAATGGAAGAAACCTACAAGATGTATGAGACAAACTTAAAAAAAAAATGTTTATAACAGAAGGAATTTGTGAAAAAAAAAAGATTTTGAAAAAGGAGACAAGGTTTGAAAATTTCTGTCAGAGCTAAAAATCAGAAGTATTCTATAAGTGATGTCCTAAAATATATAATTCATACTGATATTGGATTTGATAATAACACATCTTAATTGATATCCCATTTTATATTTCTATTTTTTCTTTGATTTTAATCTTTTTTGGAAGCTAAATAATTAATAAAATCACCTGGTCTTCTTTTGCAAGATTTCGAAGCACCAGGTTCACTGAGGAGATCTGAAATACAGGAACAACATTTTCAGATACGGTACACCTAAACCACTAACCCTCAATTCAAATTAAATTTATTAAATGAATTAATAAATTTAATTTCTCAATTATAGACCACATCCCAAAATAATCATTTTTGAATTCCAACCAATACATTCAATTATGTGTGCTCTTATTTCAAAGAGGTGAAAATTAATCAAAACAAAAAAAAAAATGAGGATTACTCAGTGCAGAGTAAGGTAATGTGTTCCAGTATTTCAGTAGGAGAGAAAGAAAGATATTTCAGAGCTAAACATAAAACTAGAATTAAATTTCAATGCACATACATGTAATACCTGGAAAGAAAAAAATATCGTTCCGTACAAATTAATTCCTTTAAGTTCTTTCTAAAAGTTAGTGTACATTTACTTCGAAAGTGTATCGTGTAATGAAGAATTTGAGATCATTGTAAATCAAAAGAAAATAATAAAATTTAAAAGATTAGGACGCTGTTTATTACTTTGTAAATTATTTATAAGTTATTTTTTAACTTTTGTAATAAAAAAAATATGAATGTAATCATGTTAAATATTTGAAGCCATACATTTCGTATCATTTGAGATATTGTAGAGTCTATGCATGCATACATATATATTTGTTGTTATTCTTTTAACTTTTATTTGAAATTCAAACTACAAACTCCAAACGAAATCACGACTCAAAACAGAAAGGACACAAGTCCAGTTTCCATGGGAATCGGTTGCACATGCGCCCCATTATTGGTCTGTAATTAATCATTAGCTCGGCAGGAGCACTCTGTGAAATCTTATGAGATCATAACAGAACTCGTGTTTTCCGACGGTTCACGACCGATTTTAGAGAACCTGGGACGGAAACACAAAATCAAAATGCAAATCAGATGACTCGCGCGATTACTGGTACGGTTTGTGCAACCATGCAGACGTGATTGGATTTGGGGCCCTAAAATCAAGACAGATGTGATAAAATTAATTATCGAGTAAAATATGGGGACCCACTTACATACATGTATATGTACAGTACATTCAGGAGGTTATTTCTAAGTTGGAGCTTTTTTTGTAAAGATTTGTACACTAAATAGCTTTCATAAAATGACATGGACTTTAAGACTGCCTTTTAAGTAGAACAATTTTATGTTTTTTATATTTTTGACCTTGTTGAAGCAGTATAAAATCCCAGCGTTCCAAAAAAAGCTAACCGTTTACATTGCCAAATGTAACTCGATAAACTGTTTCCTTAGGTTGTTGAGCTGCCTAAAGAGGAAAAATATCCCTGTATCAAGTAGTCAATTTCTCCTTTTACCGGACATCATAATTCCAAGAGTAGGCAAACTAAGCAATTGTTAGGGGAATGTCTCAGTGTTTACTCAAAATATTTACAGTGTCATTAAACAAGAAGTTGAGGCCTCATCCCGATCGACGCAGAAGGGAGAATGAGATTCAATGCAGCTCTTGTAAAAACCCACTATTACCCGGGGGATGCAAATGATGAAGGCATATGGTCATTACCGGGAATAAGGGTGGATACTCGACCTAAAGCACTTTCAACAAGGTATTGTCTGATGCTCAAAGACCGAGAGACGTTCCCAAGCTTACTCAAGTGCTCGATGTCTCGCGAGACTTAAAAGAAGGCGGGCGGTGATTGGCGGAGACGAATTATCAGAAGCTTCTTTACGAGATTTCTTTAGAAATTAAAGTTTTCTACTGAATATTAACAACTAAATGAATAGAATATTGGAAATATATGAAAATGTCAATTTTGTAGGAAAAAGATTAACATTATTCGGACCTAACGCTCGATTTGGTTTGGTACTTCAATCTTCACATTAAGGTGCCCAAAAATAGAGGATTTTGCTGGCACAGAAAAGAAAATGATGGCTAAAATTAATCAAGCGTCTTTTTTTCAATATCCCGTCTTTCGTCTGCTTAATTAACAATTCAGTTTGATTAATTTTGGTTAAAAAATTCAACAACTTTTGTTATAGAATAAAATCTCTGTTTTTATTCAAGAACATTAGCACTTTAAGCATAGTCCAATACCGACTCCAAAGTTCAAATCCCCCCGTTTTTTTATCCCAAATATGAGGCTCTGCATTTCTTGCCACATCATACAATTCTTGAACTTGTGTTCTCAAAGGAATACAATGATGCATATTTTTACGTCAGAATTAAATAAAAACTTATTAAAAGGGTGACTCGCGTTAAGGACTTTTTGAGCTTTTTTAACGTTTAAAAATATGGTATCGCTTGCTAAATTGATTTTAAAATAGGATAATTTCCTTTAGATACAATATCCATTAACCCTCACCTCTTTGGGAGGAAAAGCTAGCGATCAGGTTCGTTTCTTTGATATTTAGAAAACATCGAAAGCAACCAGATGGGCTTTAGAAAACAAATGTTTGCGAACAGACATCTATTTAGGTAAGCAGCGGGATGCGTTTTAAAATCCTTAACAAATCAAACACACCCGTGGATTCTGCCCACAAACCGCTAGAGAATAAAAACATGGTCTTTGTAATCATTTCACTGATTTCTGACTCGTTCTAATGCAGGATTCGAGAAGTATTTTAGAGGCAGGCTGGATATATTTTAGATACCATTGAATGAAATGCGTTGGGATTTTTTAAATCTAGGAGCAAATTGATGACGGAATCATAATTTCATTTTTGAATCAAATAATTATATTTTTGTTTTTGTTATCGAAGTAAAGAAATATGAATGGCAATAAATTATTAAGACTGTGAATTCCCAGAATTCCAAGGAAATGAGGGAATAAGAGTGTTGGGTTTATTTTTTGCTGCTTTTGTGTTCTGATACCTACACTTGGGATATTATCCTGATTGCAGCAACCCTCAGACAAAAGACGATCACGTATTTCCCAAGCAAATATAGAAGGACACTCTCTTTTGTAGTGAGCAATTTTTCCAACAACTTCCGGTGTGGCGACTCGCGGTTTGCTTCCACCAATGGCACGCGGTCGAATGGATCCCGTCTCATAGTAACGTCCTAGAATTTTGCTCACACAACCGTTGGAAACCTGCAGGATGCGAGAAATGTCACATGGTCTAGCTCCACTGTGGGCAAGTTCTACAATTCTTTGTCTTGTGGAATCGGGAAGGGGGCGGCCATTAACAAAAACACCGCCTAACTGATTGACTCCGCTGTGTCCTACAAAGACAAAAATATTAATATAAGAAAACAAAACAAAACGACGAAAATTTATATTTTCAATTGTTTGATTTTCTATACCTACCCGTGGATACTTCGCAAAATAAAACTACTCTTCCAACTTAAGCTATTTTCCTCGTGTAAAGGAAAATCATAAGCATGTAGTATATGTCAGAAAAAAATCGATAATTTGACAATTTTTTTTTTTAAAATTTGGCTTCGTGGTTTATGCAAAGCTTCTTTCGACACAGATAAAAATCATACGACAAAGGGAACACAGCGTGCACTGTTTAATTATACCGAACTTTGAACCCTTTTTCTTCATCATTGCATGACTACCCCGAATCATTCTGGTAACTACACAATTTCTGTTTTGTTTCCACGTGTGATAGTAAGACCTTAGCGTGTTACGGATATCAAGGAAAATAAATAAAAAAAATAATAAAGTGCGGCAATAAGTTCCAGTATGACAATTGATTTAGGGACTCAATACAAAAAAAATCCTTTTACAATATTCTTGTTCACAGTGATTTTTTGTTTGCTGTGTAAAATATTTGAATATTTCTATAACTGAAACAGCAGTCCCTATAATATTTTTTTTAAAAAGTTATTCTTACTAATTTGATTATATTCCAAATTCTGTAAACATATAATCAATACTGCTTTCATTTAAATGATTATATCAATCAAAATTTCTTGACAATTTTCAATCTTATCAGATGTACTATCCGTTTCCTCACAGGATAGTCAGGGATAGTCGAGGATATATAGGCACTTGTCACGGGATCCGGAATAACATGAGGAACACATATAAATATTTCTACTCCTCAATTTGTACTTTTATATTTTCACTAAACAATAAACAATGCAACTGCACTTGAACAGTATATATACCGATTTAGCACACCCTGAAGCTATCGAGTGCAGATCTGAATTTCCGGTGTATTAGATTCTTTGTAAGCAATTATCAAACATGCAACAATGACATGTTAGAAAATTAAGGTGCCAGTCGATTTGTATACAAATATGTTTTAGATTTACAAATAACATGTTTTACAATTCAAACAGATAATCAAGTTTAAAATGTTGTTTATTACAAATATTTTAAAGTTGAAAAGGGTTGACTTTGGGTATCTTCGTACACCCAACAAAACAACTTCAGAGTCAAACATTCAACCTCAAAGGTCACTTGGCATGCATAATAAGACATTGTACTAAACAACGACTGTTGTAAACAGATAATCAGATAATTGTCAAAGGTTTATCTTTTTAAAATTGTAATCCCTTCAAATTTATCCAGTTGTATTATAGTTTCTCATATAAGAAACCATCTTGTAAATTACAGGGTTACGATTTTTACGAGATTTTTAAGATGAGGTCGCTGGGTTCTAAGCACGCCTTCCGTCAATTTGGACGTAGTAAAATCCAAAGATATGAAATAATTTAGCAGAAGGTAGAATATTTTACAATTGGGAAAAATTTATAAAATGTTACATAAAACTACAATGGAAAATTGATAGCGTCATTTGGTGGATGATATTCTTTAATTTACCATGGTAAAAATACCCACCCTTCTAATTTAATGAATGGCCACACGTGCAGATTTCATTTGACAAAAATACAATTTTATGTACATTTGTCAAGGCAAAAACGAAAATTATGAAATCATGTCTTAACTGTCAAAACTTTCACAGTTTACAAGCATTTTATGGCGAAGTGCTTAGAACTAGAATAGTTTAGCTGTCAGCAGTGATGGTGTATGAACGAGCAGAGTTTAAATGTCTTTGAGCTGCAACCCAAGTGTTCCTTGGATTTATGAGGCATGTTAAAACAATACAAGTCATGTTGTGTCCCTTCAACAGTCTAACGAGCCCGTCTTCTCACACGTCGGCGCTTTATCACTGTTTATTTTCATAGCTAAGGTCACCTCGATGAATCCTGCTTGACTTAACTCAAATTAATGGCTTGGAAAAAATCTTATTTTTGTCTTCACGATATCAAAGAAAATTGTCATTTTAGGTTTTCTAATTAAACAGAATATTAATGGTTTCTTCATATGGTCATTTTAATATGCACATATTTCAAGACTTAAACAATGAATCATTTTGCTTAATAAGCTAAGCTTTTAGGAATATCAACGCTTCCCATTTCTCTAGTGAATTGCACATTTAAGTGCAGAAATCTTGCAGACAGATAAAATGCTGATTGGACTGTTCTAAGTTTTTGATTTTTTTGTTTTTTTTTGGTCAATTTTCAAAAAAAAAAAAAGCCTCCCTCAACCCCAGTGTTTTTGACATTCTGTGGAACCTTTAGTAGTGAGTATTCCTCCACCAAACACTTGGCTTTAGCATGTGGAAGTCAAGCGCCTGGACTTAAAATTGTTAAGGTCTTATGCCTTTTTATTAGTTTTTTTTTTATTTCTACCATATTTTTAATATCAACATAAAAAAAAATCAGTTTCAAAGCAAAAAGATAAATCGATGCATATTTTACGATGAGCTTTATCTAGTATAATTATAGCAAGTAAATCACTAATACTTGCATTAAGACTGAATATACAGGTAACTTTAATTTCCATCCAACACAACCACCCTCTTATTTAAACTTTGTTCTCATTTTTTACAGAATGCAACGGAAGAAGGTTCAGTAAACGAATCTCTAAATTTTCTGACTTCGATGTCAATCTTAGAACATTTCTCAGAACTTGACAAGTATATTACCCGTGTCTTCAATTTACATCAACGGTAATTAAGAGAATGGGAGAAATTTTCAGAGCAAAATCAAAGAAAATCTTAGAGGAACATTATCGAGTCATTGCATTGACTCTGCGTAATTAAGCGATCGAAAATATGAAAAAGTCCGGAGATAATGGATAAATGTCGGAGAATTATGAATTAGAGATAAACAGACAGCTTGAGAGACGACATGCCACGCAGAGGAGACCACCTAGCGATGAAATGGACCAGCGGTGATAACCCCAATAACCCCAGACCAAGGCCCGTCACCACGGCCATTACTAGATGACGGTGCCGCAGGGAATGATGGGATACGACAAGACAGGGCCAAATAAATTGTTTCCGTTCAGCTGCGCAACTTGCCATCCTAAATCAGGGGGCAGCATGGCTTTATTTTGAACACTGTTGGTGTTGGGGCGTAAAACCGTTGACATGTTTGTTGCTTAAATTTATACTCAGGTAACTAGAAAGGTGCGATTTTAGCGTTATATCATCACTGTATACATTTTCGGTGGTGCAAAAAGGTTCAGATTTAATAGCGTGGAATATGTAATAAAATGTCTGTTCTTTCACACCGTATATGGACTAAAATATAAAAATAAAGGAAAAAGCTCCTCAACAAGAAACCATGCAGGTGCTTATCTGTGAACTAAATATTTATGGTGTTGTGACAGGTCTACGCTGTTTTTCATTTTTCAAACTTTGCGAACTTAATTCAGTCATGTTTCTTTTTTTCTTATACACTGTTATAGCAAATATTATTGTAATAATTTTAAGGAAATGCAATTATGTCAATGACAACGGCCAAAGAAATTCAACTATCACAGGAAAAAAAAAAGTTCATAGAACGTGTATGTTTACCTGCAATGCATGGTGATTCAGAATAACTTTTTTTCATGACTATGAACATAATTGATTCATATCTCCAGTTCCAATGAAAAAATAACGAACGACGAACAAGGGAAGAAATTTTTGACAAATAACGTAATTGTTTTTATAGCTTTGTTTCGCGAATACCTCACACCGAACATGACATGTGAAAATCATAAGAAAGCTTACTAACTCCCAGTAGTGATCGAGTTTCAGTCTTTCTTTGTTCTGAGCATTCGTGCCCACATTCGCAGTGCAGTTACAATGCATACCAATCAAATGTAAATGGCACGCAAAACGCGTAATGGGGGTTAGTGGAACAATGCCATATCCTACCTTAAAACTCGGTCATCTGTTTGGCTATCTAAAGTAACCTATTTATTGTTTCATCAATTTAAATGGATTTTTATGCTATGTAATGAAGAATTCTTATGGCCGTTACTCAATTTCTTCTTCCTCCAATAATCATTGCCAAACATTCCAAGGTCTTAAAATACTATAATTATGATTGACTTACGGCTAGCAATTTGAAACCATTTAGCAATATGTGTTTGAATAACTCATTTTAAATGCAAAAATTGAACAATGATTCGCACAATTTGATGAAGAAATGTTTTCTAATACACCAGCTTAGCTATGACTTTTTATAAGAAGAAATCGGATAGCAGTAATCAAATCCACCCAGACTAGCAACTACCATTGATATCTCCGTCTGTGACAAGTTTGCTGCAAGGGATATTTAACGAAAGCCAATAAGCGTCTTACAGACAAGGTGACATGCAATCTTCATCACTTCGATGCTTCTCTTAACTGATTTCAATGGCCACCCGTATTTTCAATCACGGCTAATTTACACCAGATTTATAATATTTCTTTGCTTAGTTTGTTTATATTTCTTTCAAAAACTGTTGTCATTTTGTGAAAGGAGTAAGATAATGCCGGCAATTAGATGTTGGAAAATCATTCAAAGAGTCATATACACAAGATACTTTGTGAGCCAGCAAGAGCTTTGATGACCACCAAGAGAGATTTTAAAACCAGAATTACATCCTCCATCTCTGAGGTTTTAAATTGGAAATTCGACGATGAATTCTAGATACAGTGGTCTTTGATCGACGAACGAGTACAGATGTGCATTGGAAAACAATTTCAACACATTATCCAAAACAAGAGATCGAATGATATAAAGCCAGGAGAGGGATTAAAAAGCGAGATTTCAAGAATATCTTCCACTCAGGAAACGTCATTGAAAAACAGCAAACAAAACCATTAGACAAACTGGAAACATGCGTCTTTGCAATCACGGAAAAATCAAAGAAAATACTGGGTGATTAGAGACATTCAAGTTCTGGTACCAGCTTCCTCGTAAAGCTGTAAATCATACTGGTGACTTAATTATTATTTTTGAAAATCTATGTGGAAATTTCAGCATTCTTTAAAAAAAAAAATTCAACAACACAGTTGAAAATTTCTTCCTAATCGTTGTTGCTTTCCTCTTATCATTATTTTTTAGTATTTATAATCTTTTTCATTGTGGCGTTTTGCAGAATATTGTGTTTTTTTTTTGTTTTTTTTTTTTAAAGATTTATACATTTTATCCCGCTATTAATATGATAATAGTAACATTAAAAGATAAGTACCTCTTAATAAAAGAAAATAAACTTAATAATTTATGTAGTGATGAGATTATACCTCTTATAAAGATCTCATCAATATTCGTCATTTACACATCTGATAAGCTCTCGCATTTTATTTATAAATTTTCATGCGCTTTTTTCACATTGATGACAAATACAGCCTTGCATAGTATTTTTTTAATATTAAAAAATATTCAGAATATTTTTATTGGTTACACTATTTCCACACATATATAGAATAGAAAATTTACCTTAGTAGAATTTGACATTTTTTTTGTACAACCTGCTCAATATTTTTTCAAACAATCAAGAATGTAAAACTAAATGCGGAATTTTTTTTTTGGTTGTTTATTTATACAATACAAACTACCTTTTTCTTGATGAAATCAAGATAACAAGAAAAAATATTTACTGTTCTTGGTAAAACTTTGTTTATTTTCAACGAATAAGAAATAAATTTTGAAGGACAATTTTTTTTAGAGAAAAAATATTTTGAAAAGCAGCAGAGATATTTTATAGCTTTAAGATACTTTCAGTAACAGTGATGGACGCCATTGCACAGTGTATGTCTTGGTTTATCAATAGCATATTCTAAATGTGCTGCCCGCACTGTCTCCAATATTAGCTTAGAAGGCTCCAAAAGTCGGAAATAAATACAGTAATTACTACTGATGCGAAGGACTGGTTGTAAGAGGTATCAGAAATGTATCTTTGTAAAAATGACCATATTTCTGTTCCTCCGGATGTGTTATTTTATTTTGGGGGAAAAAGGCTATGATGTTGATCACATTTTTGATGCAGTTATCACCAACAGAAAAATATCATAAAATTTATTATTTTATATATTTGGAGGAGTTTGACAAAAAAAAAAAATAATAATATTTAAGGATTAAGATTCCCACCTCGTTTTTGCCTAGACTTTCTAGAATTTGGACTGTCAACATCCGGGCTTCCAACAGAATTACTAGTGTCGTCGTCTGAAAAGAGACAAAAATATTAATTTAAGAAATGTTTCGAAACAAATCAAAATTTAAATTTATTCTAAGTCTAAAGGAGTTGTCCCCTCTTTCTTAAAAAAAAGAAGTCATTTAAATCAAACCCTAAGGTGCAAATTAAAGATTATGCAAAAAATGAGAAAAATATCAAAGAACTTCGGTAAGCTAATTAATTAAGATGTCTGGATTTGAAAACCATTAACATGAAAATTTCCGGCAGATCTGCGTTTCGTATTGAAGATGTAATATTATATACAAATCTACAACATAGTGCGTTCCTTTGAAACGACAAACGAGCGAGTCATTAAAAACGGTGTCTCAAGAAACATGAAAACGCTTATGAAATCCCAATTTGACAAATACTGTCCATTTCATCATTTTTCTGAATGTCAGGTCTTCGTTTATTTTTAACCTTTGCTTCATCCTGCTTGTGTGTCAGAGGTAAACAAGAAATTGGACTTGTTCGGGGGGAAGGCAGTGCTTTTCGTTTTTGTTTCATGTACAATGCCAGAATGGAGATTTTAGCATCGCAGATGTCATCCCTGTCACAACTATACATGTTTTTTTGCCATCACTTGATAACATAAAATATCTACAGGACATCAAGTCTTGATAAATTTTCTTTTAAAGTAGCTGCAATCGGTTTTGCAGTAAGCACATAGCTTTTATTTCTGTCTATTTTCCATAACTATTGGTTATGGTAACCAGATATAATTAAATCAATTCGAGTGATTAACTCCATTTTACATGCCTAGATAGCTTTCACAGTTTTTGTTTGCAAATTTCTCTACGTAAATCGAAGATGAAAACATAAACAAAACGGAGAGAAAAAGATGCTGAAGGTCTAAAACGGCCAAAAATTCTTTGTTCGGATTAGGGAACCCAAGAATCAAATAAAACATGGTTTATAGGACTAAGGCGTCGATACAGAGCAGGATTGAGACTAAGTCGGGAGCTTTATGTGTAATTATATAGGCCTTAGTTGTAGAAATAATCAAAATGCAAAAGAAATAAACACTATGAACGGCAAAATCCTTTAACTGACAGACCCATGCATTTGTTCTCGAAAGTCGGACTTAACGGACAAGAGAGATAGAGGGGTCCCGGAGACCAAGAACAAATTGTCGGATCATCTCTGATTGTATCGCTCAGATTTATCGTCTTGCTTCTTCTCGTCAGGATGAAGTTTTACTGTTCACAGATAGTTGATACTCATTATGCTTTCATGACATCTCATATAAAAGGCTAAAAGCAACATCCTTGATTCACAGAATTACAGGTCATAAAAATCTTGTTTTGATAATATTTGAGAAAGGAATTACTTATGTGGCTCATAAGATTTTTTTTAAATATTGAAATTAAAATATTTTTCATTTTAGAATTCCTCGTAAAATTTGAAATTGTGTTATATTTATCGAGGAATATTAAACAATGCTTAAAATAATATTATCAAAAACAATAACTATTAAATAATTCTGCAATGTTTAATTCAGAATGGAAACTTAAAAGACAACTCTAAATATATTAGGTTTGATTTAAATTTCTCCTGCACTGTGTATAGAGTATTTATATATTGTCTATATAATGCAGTTCTATAAATATTGTCAAATTCAAATGACATGAAATTAAAACAATATCTTTAGATTAAACTGTAAACAATAGAAAGATAAAATAACTTTGCCTCATGTCATATATTGATTGGAAAAAAAAGTAATTTATCATTTTATAGATTCTAATTATGTAACCAACCTTTCGACGGCATCGTTTCTTCCTTAAGCGAGGATGTCATACGTTTTCACTGTCACATTCGGTACTGAAAACACTCAGATCCCGTAAACCGAAAAGGTCCAAATCCTGGTTTTTTTCCACAAGCCTTTCTGACTGAAACAACAGAACATGAACTTCAATTTCAAAACTAAGCTCCTATGCAGTAATCATTTGCTAGGATCCTTTGCTGCTCTGATAAAAACAAGTTAAAAGCTTAAATTCGTTGACATTTTTCAAGTTTTTAAATTTTTTCGGTCAACAGAAAATAGTCCGTATAATTGTCTTTCCGTAACGTAGATCCTATATGTGTTATAGAAGGCACTATAGGGGAAGGACTCAATCTAGGGAAAAACTAAATCATGGAGTCTAATCAGGCATTTAGACAGACCCAGCGCCTGGAAAATGCCTCCGTGCACATGTATCAAAGAAGGATGCAAACAATTGGTTCCAGGTCGCACACCTCTAAGAAAAAAGTCCGTAACGGTTAATTTGTTCCACTACACAATATACACACCAATTAACCAGTAGTAACTACAATGATCCCAAATTTTCTAGACACCCTAAGATTTTTCAATCGTTCTAAATCATATCATACAGTTGAGCGGTGACCGTCAGTTTATATGTATATCCCAATAAGCCCTCATTTGGATATTTTAATGGTTTTGAACGAGCGAGTTAAAAGGCCGAACAGCACCCACTGAATCGCGGCATCTGATTGGTCATCGACTTGTCACTGGCGCGGAACAGTCAATCAAACTGTTTTTTTACTTAGTAAGGCCGAACCAAAAAGCTCCAATGAGTAAATATGTTTTCCTGTTCGTGTTTTGTGATAGTATTTTGTTTCAAAGGCCATTTCGTGTTAGTGATCATAAATCACATAACCTTTTCTCTATACACTGTGAATTGTTATTGAAGATTGTATATAATAGGCAGAGAGGAAAACTTCTGACTTTTTAGAGATCTAGGGGCTTACATTGGTAATCTTAACTTCACTTCTATGCAGTGTTCGGTATTAAATTGCAGCAATATGCTGTAATAAGGACCTTGTCAATACTGTTTTCCTTCGGTTTATGAATCGGGTATAGTTTACACATGATGCAGCCTCGCATGAAATTGCATTTAACATGTTTAATGAACATACACCAGTAACAAACGCATTTGTGACCCTATAAAACGCTATAGAGAACAATTACAAGCAGCTTGCAATTGCTTACTGTATCAAATCTTGCGTTATAATTAATCTCAATTAAAACGCTTACATTCATAAATATTATGAAACAATTTCAGATATTCCATGAAATGACGAGTTGGCTTAGGGATTTATTTACAAAACGAATCAAATTTTTGTTTATATTGGAGGTTAATGTTACAGTGGGCAAAACCAACTGTTGGGCTTTATTATGAAAGTGGAATAACTTAAATCTTCTCAGATAAATTGCTATTTCATTGATATCCTGTGAATTCTTTTTATACAGAAACCGTTCGTCTCCGTCCCTCCTGTGCAGGGAAAAATAACAAATTCAAACCAAGGACATGCGAATAAAGGGGGAGAAAGAAAAGTGAATTTCTTTAGACTAATCTCCGTAGATGCCACAATAGTTCACTGTAAGTTTTTTGTCAATTAGACAAGCACTTCAAGATAAAACCTACTTTAATCCATGCTTCTGAGGGGTGATATATGAAAAGATTTTACCTAAGTCAATGCTCTGAATGGCTCGCAATTTTTCTGTCATTTTTCTTCCTTAGTGTATATATGTCAGGGAAACATGGTTTTTTTGCCTTCCAACACAAATTCTTTCCCCTTGTGTCAGTTTTACAAATGGACTTGATATACTTTTTTCTCCTTGCATTTAATAGTAAAGAGAAAATGTTCGCAAAGATTAATGAATAATTTGCCGTCATGTTTGAATTCTTTCTTAACACAAAACAAGGTTTCTATATTAATTTTTCAACTTTAAAAGGATTTTATCAACATTACATTTGATGTGATAAAAAAAAAACTTATAATGAAAATTAAATAATGCTTAATCCTGGTATTGCTGGTTAACAGCTCTCTTAAATTTAAGCTTTAAAGATGGGAATCGGCAATCCCTATATAGAAATACTTAATAAATCTGGCACACAATTGTCAAATTAGTTCAACTTTCGAATCTCTATAGATGATCTATTACAAAGTAAACGATATCATCATTATTTACATGAATATCTGGCTGGATCGCGGAAAGACCTGCGATATTTGACACGAAGAACGCGAAAAGATACAGCAAACGCGACAAAAGGTTACATATGCCCGCGGGATGACCATGATCTAATGGGATTACGTCATATGAAGATACGTATCGTCCTGTCCGGTCATAGCAATGCAGTACCAGTGAATTTTGCCAAAAAGACCAAGTGTGTCTTAATTAGAAAAACACGGGTACCATTGTGATTTGTTTATTTTGGAGGAAACGACTGACACGTCTATCCGCAACAATTGAGAGAGAACTATGATAAGCGATTTTGACATTCCGAGCCCGAGGCATAGAAACATCCAATGAAGTTCTCAGTATTATTCGAACGCAGTTCGTTTTTTGTGTCGATTTCAATTCATTTTATATCAACTGTCGCGGCATTCATGTCTTCATTCCAATGCACAGGAAGCAGAACAAATTTAAAATGTTGATTAATTTAAGAAACCCCTCCAGCTCTCTCACAGATTGCGTCTTGATTTTTTTCTTCTTTCTCAGCCAATTTTCTCGATTCATTGACGCAACTTTCGTCTCAAAATCGTATTGATCCCAGAAACTGCACTCAAAAGGTCTGCTACTTTTATAGAGTGACAAGCTCTTAATTTGTATTTACATGGTAATTGAACGTAATACCCATTGGGGAGGAGAATCACTTGCACACAAATACCTATTGATTTAACGTATATTGTTAATTTCATTAAAAATATAAAGGGAATTTGGGTAGATTTTCGCGTCAAGTGCTTTAATCTCTTATAAGCCGCTTAACTCAGATAGTATGTTGTTCTCAAATAAGTAATTCCTTAAATAAGAATATACCTTAGTCTGGAGGCAATGAAATGGTAATAAAAGGTAAAAGGAAACGGAAACGAATCTGTATAGAGGCATTTTCTACGGTATATCATGCCATCGGACCCTCCCGGGCATTTATGTTATCTCTAGCTACATCATATACATACAAGGAATCTCTAGGTTTATCATTGTTGAAAGAAATTACATCTGTAATATGTGTTGCATGAGAATAACATTTTAAAAATTGCCGTTATTTAAGTTGTACATAACAGACAAAAAAAAACCACTCATAAACTTGTGTATGTTAATTATTTTTTTGAGATAATTGCTACTGACGGAAAAAAATAATACTAAGAATTCCGTCTTAAAAATTCCTAAATGTAGCTCTAGTTCTCTCAGAATGAAATTAATATACACTTGGGGATTTAATTTAGGTAAAACTAAAGTAAACATTCGAGGGTCAGATTTTGAACTTTTGCATTTACTCTTTAAGGTTTTTTTTCACAGATAGAACGCCACTTCACAACCAAAAGTTGAGTTTAATCCGCCTTAAGAGGTAGTCCATCATTATCACTGTCTGATTAGATCTTTATTAGTGGACATTTGTCGATTTCATGCCTGGTAAATCTCATACACTTTTACCTGTGCCCAAACTACTGAGATTAAGGCACATGAAACAGAAAACTTGGATCCCTGGGGTTGCCTTGGTCATCAGATAAGGGGCGGGATGATGTGTATTGCCCGATGAGCTGTCTGATATTTATCGAAGCAAATTTTACTTATTGCTACCTTAAGCTCGATTTGTCATAATTTTCCAGTTCATTATTTTGTTTAATTATTTTGAATAAATCTATATTCCTTTGAAAAAAAATTACATGTAATGGTATCATTGAAAATATAGCAAGACATGAGTTGTTTTTTTTTTTTTCATTTGCTGAGGCTTTTATAGAATTTTTTCCCCATTTAAGCACTTATTTTTTTGTAAATTTAATCGATATAAAACATAAGAAATAAAAACCTACAAGTAACTTATAATATTTGAAAGAAACAAACGTAACATTAACTTTTTGTACTGTTATTTTCTTGATATTAAGTAGAAATAATGATATTCAATTGTTTTTGTATTGTTGAAATAAATTAGCTTTAAAAATTAACATGGAATTTTTCATCTGTATAGAAATAAAAAAAAGTTACTCTTGGTGATGTATATATCATTGAAATAAATTCAAAGGCGTAAAATATTTATGTAAGTTTCTTGAAAATTATACAGAAGTCAGCAAGAGTTTTTATTTTGTTAAGAAATATTTAACATTACCAAGTTTTGAACCATGTTTGTTTAGGATATGTTCACCATATCTAAATGAATAATTCTCAAACTTGAAAAAAAAAAAAAAAGATTTTTCGTATAATTTTTTGCTTTTATGAAATAAAAATTAAAATAGTGTTTGAAATTTGTAAAACCAGTTGACATAAATTGAAAATATGATGTGCATGGGTCCAGAATTAAAAAAAAAATGTGATTTTAGAATTACTTCTTTGAACAGGTTTTTTTTTAAATGAATGCATTTATTAAAAAATCAAGGAGTAAAACGCCAATAACTCTGAATAAAACATATAAATAGAAAATATTATTTCAACAGATAGATCCTATCTGCAAAGATGCTAACATAAAAATATGTTTCATAATACAAACAAATATTTTTAAAAAATAAAATAAACAAAACAGAAATATTTTCTCCGAGAGAGTGCCTACATTCACGTCCTCAGCTCGGAACTATTAACAGCAAAAAAGCATGGTAATTAGTAAACGTCTGACCTAGGACCGATTCAACATAACCCCCATTAGTTAATGTCGGGGGAGCCTCCGAAACCTTAACACCATTATACAGTAACAGTCCAAAAATCTATGTCCTGCTTAGAAGATATTTTTACGACAAAACATTAATTCAAGAAAGCGGTAGGTACTTTTTCCTATTCCAGTGATTCATTTTTTACGCACCTGGCTAACTAACTTCAGAAGAAATATTAATTACAAATTTAT